CCACTGCCCCCAGCACTATCAGCAGCACCCACTGCCCCCAGCACTATCAGCAGCACCCACTGCCCCCAGCACTATCAGCAGCACCCACTGCCCCCAGCACTATCAGCAGGACCAGAGCTAGGAGCCAAAGAAACAGCAGGAGATTCCTTGATGAACGCTCGTAAGTGTTGATGGAGGAATCTGTTCTATTTTCTTTGTTCAGCCCGCAGGTTGTAAAGAACGAAGAAAAAAGAAGCGTGTAAACCTGACTTTTATCCCAAGCCTGCCATGCACATGACCACAAGGTGATGTATAGGGAGGGATGTAGCAGACCATCTGGAAAGTTTATCTTTGTTTAGCTTTCTTTACCATGAGCTTCAGCCAACAAGTCTATCTATACATCCGGGGCTGGGTATCCCACAAGGCCACCGAGGTCTGGCCTTGGGGCAGCAGGGAGTAGAGGGGCAGCACAGCCACTGGGTGGGTAAAAGTGATACAAAAAGTAAAAAAATAATAAAAAAAAGTAAAAGATAAGATGAGTTTGGTGGGGAGGGGGCGCATTGCGGAACCTGGCCTTAGGGCAGCAAAGAGATTAAATCCGGCCCTGTATACATCCCATTGCATGGTTACAGACTCTTAGCATTGGTCACGTGTATCCTTCATACTGAGCCATGAGACGTACAGGCAGCACGAGGCATCCAATGAAATAATACACATTATTTGTTTTTTCCAACGTATTTTGTAGACTTTGACTATGCACATAATGTATGCTTTTATTTGCTGCTCTGACCAAAGATAGGCCTAATTTAAATGTGTAATTACATAGAAGAAAAAAGCATAATTCGCTAGAACGCAGCAAATGAAAAGGCGATGAAGCGGCACAATTACCAAGGAAAGTGAAATCGTCTAATTCTTCGCTGTTTTGACAAGATGCTGATGTCTCCCCGGACAATAAATCTTGTTGTGCAGACAGTGAAAAGTAATTAAAGAGCAAGTTAAAAAAAGTAGCAATTACTACATGCACCTGCGGAGGAGAAGGCGCCTTTGTTTTTGATAAAGGATGTGTTAAAGGGTACAAAGTAGAGGAGAGAAGAATAAGTTATTCATGAGACATCGAGAAATCCCAGCACACAAAAACCAAATTGTTTTTGGAGTGAGAATGCGCTTCTAGTGTGAGAGTAACAAGACAATAATAATAGCGGCTTTGGGGTTGTTGTTTTTCTGTGACTCGCAAACTGAAGATGAGTTTAGAGGAAGTGTGAGGGCTTGTCCTTGCTAAACTTCATTGTACAGCAATGTGGACATTATAGCTAACTAGCTCTTGTGCTGGCTTCCAATATCCAATCAGGTGCAAAGAAGATGAAACAAATGTAAAATATTACTAGCAAATGTTCGGTTGATCGAATTGAACACACTAAGGGCCAGTTCACACCAGCCGATGAGCAAAACGCACAGCGTCTGGTGTACAGTGCCGGACACAGTGTCCATGCGCTGATCCCGGAACATTGCACTGTACTTTTTTTTCTTAATTATGTTTTTTATGGGCACAGCAAAGTGCGAGGCAGTTGTACTGCATTGCATCCCACTATGCGGAAAAAAGTATTGCATGCAGTACTTTTTTTTCAGCACACACCACCATGCGTTGTGGTGGTGTGAACCCGAGCCCATGCTTGACAAGGCAAATTGCCTTATCCTGTGTTGGGGCTGTGGTGAAAAAATGGCCAGTGCAGCCCCAACACATATGGAGTGAATGGGCCCTAAGGGTTAACGCTCTGTTTTAAGAGCTGTTCACACTAGCCTGTCCACTGAAATGCTGTGTTTCATTCAGAGGATAGGCTGGTGCACTATCACAGTTCCGGTACTGTGTATTGTATTGCACACTGCCGAAACTGTCAGTGTTTACATTTTTTTTCTAACTTTATTGGTAGTGGACAAAGTGAACATTCAAATTCGGGTGCCTGCATGGCAGCATGGTCCGTTGCCCTGCCCTGCAGCGTCCTGTGGTGGTGCCCATTGCAGCAGGCCCGGCGCTACCGCAAGGCAAGTCAGGCGGCCGCCTGAAGGCGCTGCAGGGTGAGGGCGGAAAAAACAGGGCATTTTGACAAGTACTTGTCAAAATGCCCCGATGTTTGCGCTATGTTTTTTTCCACTTACCTTCGGTGCAGGAGAGCAGCGGCGAGTCAGCGCTGGTCCAGTGGGAGGAGCTCCAGGTGGGGTCCTAATTTAGCTGGCCAGCGACTGCCAGAGGATCCCCACACGCGCGGCACCTCAGGCAGTCGCCGGCTAGCTAAATTAGGACCCCCACCTGGAGCTCCTCCCACCGGACCAGCG